TATTAAGCACGCATCAGTTTGATTATATTGATTGTTTGTTATATATATATTATATATATACACATACATATACACACTATATTGCCAAAAGTATTGGGCCAGCCCTCTAAATCATTGGACTCCAATCACCTCCGTGCCCTCCGGAGGATCTACCCCCCCCCCCCCCCTTCCTGACCAGGCCATTTTTTGCGTTGTGGCACTGTATTATTTTAACTGACAATTGTGTAGTCATGCAACACTGCACCCAAATGAAGTCTATGTCCTTTTTTGACCACAAATAGAGCTTTCTTTTGGTGGTATTTGATCGCCTCTGCATGTTTTATTATTTGTGCCATAAACAAAAAAAGACTGCCAATTTTCAGAAAAAAAAACAATATTTTTGACTTTTTTGCTATTAAACATGTCCAGTAAAAAAATTTAAAAAATCTAATTTTGTCATAAATTTAGACCAAAATGTATTCTGCTCCATGTCTTTGCTAAAAGAAATTCCAATACCTGTAAATTAACTGGTTTATGTGAAATGGCGGTATATATATATATATATTTTTTTTTGTACTAGTAATGGCGGCAAACAGCGACTTATAGTGGGGCTGCAGCGGCCATTCTGACAGTGGGGGAAACTGACTATCACTGACATCCCCTGTGACACCAATACAGTGATCAGTGCTAATAAAAATGTGGGGCAATCAAAGAGTAAACTGTGTGTTGTGTGTCTGTTTCACTGTGTAAACACATTGCTTTGTATGGCTGTGCTATGCAGAGCCATACAAAGCAGTGTGCTGGAGCTGACAGGGGAGAGATCTGTATTGTTTACATACAGGTCTCTTCACCATTAGTCATACTTGGCGGTCGTCGGGTGCCAGAGGGGAATCACCGGCAAAATTATATATATGTATGTATGTATGTGTGTATGTATGTAGGTATATATATGTGATTTTGTGCAGCCCTGTAGAGGTATTTCTGCTATAGGGCGCCGGGGGAAAGTGGGATAAAAATATGCTAGTGTTCATGGAGCCTCAATGTTTATCTAAGAATTACATAACATTGTGTGATGGTTACATAATCACCTGTTTGCCCATCAACAAAAAAGTTAATACAATTAATCAGTTGTACATTCTTGGCATATTTGTATTACTTAATGTTCTGTAAAAAAAACAAACAAACAAAACAAACAAAATAAAAAGGTACTAGTGCCAACAATAGCAAATCTTCAGAAAACCTTTGCTACGGAGTGAGTAGAGTTTCCATCCACAATACCGTCCTCCAGCATCACCAGAGCAGTTGTGTTCAATACAAACATTAATGTGATGATTTATGGCAATGTCTAGTAGTAGCTGGACAAAGTCAGCCGGATTTGGTCTGTAAAGTTGAAGGTATGGCGGTGTAGTTTCTCCAAACCATTTCCTCAGTTCTAATGAGGGTCATAAAAAAACTCAAGAAGCGGCTTGAATAAGCTTTGAAATGTCTTTCACATTATAGGACAAGTCCAGCTCAATGTGGCTAAACATTATTATTATTATTATACAGGATTTATATTATTATTATTATTACTATTATACAGGATTTATATTATTATTATTATTATACAGGATTTATATTATTATTAATATACAGGATTTATATTATTATTATTATTATACAGGATTTATATTATTATTAATATACAGGATTTATATTATTATTATTATTATACAGGATTTATATTATTATTATTATTATTTTTATTATTATTATTATTATTATTATTATACAGGATTTATATTATTATTATTATTTTTATTATTATTATTATTATTATTACAGGATTTATATATTATTATTATTATACAGGATTTATATTATTATTATTATTTTTTTATTATTATTATTATTATTATTATTATACAGGATTTATATTATTATTATTATTATACAGGATTTATATTATTATTATTATTATATAGGATTTATATTATTATTATTATTATACAGGATTTATATTATTATTATTATACAGGATTTATATTTTTAATATTATACAGGATTTATATTATTATTATTATTATACAGGATTTATATTATTATTATTATACAGGATTTATATTTTTAATATTATACAGGATTTATATTATTTATTATTATTATACAGGATTTATGGCGCCAACAGTTTGCTCAGCGCTTTACAATATAACGGGAGACAATACAGCAACAATACAGTTCAATACAAGAGGGATAGGAGGGCCTGATCCTGGCAGCTTACAATCTAAGACACATTACTAGCTATACCACGATAAATGAGAGCCTTTGGTAGGTCACATGACCATCTCTCTTCCAATCACAGATTGTCTCCACGGCATTAAGCAGAGAGAACTGCATGGGGAACCACATGCTCCACATCATGGCACACATTTTATGAATGGGCCATACAATGCGGGTTTGCAGTGTTGTAGTAGCGACTTTGGGAATACCAGGAAAACTCCGGACACGAACTTGAGGAAAACAAACCGTTTGTTTACCAGCTGGGACTTAGCAAGGACTCATGTCTGCAAGCTAAGTCCCCTTGCAAAAGCATCTTACATGTGTATATACCAACGATTGCGTCACAATGCATATATTTCCTCTTTACTTTACTTTTGAAATACATTTTAAGCAGTACAACACAGGATATAATCTTTTGTGGTTTGCACCTTTAGCTAACAGACTGATCCACAGGAAATGAGGGGGAGAAAGCGAGCTGATAGCTTGGTTCTGCAAACAGATGCTTTAGAAACCTTAAAGATTAAAGGGGAAGCAATATTTGGGTACTGCCACAGCGTGTGTAATCTAGCAATATATACAGTAAGGGCTTGTTCACACTGGACTTTATTTCTAACTCTTGCCAAACGCCCTTATAGCGTTTGACAGGCGTTAGACAGTCGTTTGGGAAGCATTTTTAACGCTCCTCAAATGCTCCCCAAACACTCCCAAAACACACTATGCACGATTTTGAGGCGGTTGCCAAGTGTTAAAACCGCACCACAAACTCCTATAATGAAGTTAAATGGTATTAACGCTCCGCAACCGCGTTGCAACCGCACCGCATACATCTGGCAGGCGTTTGCAGAGTGGCACAATAGACTTGAATGGGAGGCTTCAACTCCTCCTGACTCGATAGGCGTCAGTTTTGCCGAAATGCGACGCTAATGCTTCTGTGTGAACAGCACTGTGTGCTGCCATGTGCAGAATTTTCATAGGCATTTGAGAAGCATTAAAAATGCTTCCCAAACGCCTATCTGAAGCCTGCTGACAAAGCTAGTGTGAACGGAGCCCAAAGGAGATCATTATAAAAAGGCCCTTTAAAAGCTTGCTCAGATCGCTGAGCTGCATTGACTTGCGCTAATCAACCCAGGCTCAATGCAAGGACATACAAAAACTATTTTTTACTATGCTTATGCCCCATCGTTGGGTACTAAAAATTCATAGACAGAAATATTTTGCACCAATTCTTTCACACCAAAAACAATCACACCAATTTAAAGAAGCTGAAAAGCAAACATACTATAACACCGTTCTTATCCGCTTTATCATAAAACTGAAACACCTTTTCACTTAACTTTTTATTGATGCAGAATGATACAAATATAATGACCTAAATATGTAAAGAGCTGGAAAGAATAAAGGCGGGCTTGTTTTAAAACTACATGCCAAAAAAAGTTGAAGCCTAGTCAGTTAACAAATACACCAGGGATGACCTCGGTGGTATTCTATTCCAGTTTTACTGACTTGGGGGCAGAGAGGAGACCAGGCTGTAAATGGTTAGCACTTCCGCCTGGCAGTACTCGGGTTGTTGCTTCGAATCCCAACCACGGCACCACCTGCCTGGAGTTTGCATGTTCTCCCTGTGAGATGATCATCCGTTTACATCCACAAGTCCATAGAAATACAAGGGGGTCTGTTTTTCATCCGTAAACGGACAGATGAAAAACTGACATATGGAACACCTGTGTGAAAATGACCATACTTTTCTTACAGATGCATTTATACGTGCGAGGTGAGACATGAGCATTGGTGAAAGGAAACTATGTCTCCTAGATTGTAAGCTCCAAGGATCAGGGCCCTCCTAACCCTCTTGTATTGAACTGTATTGTTGCTGTATTGTCTCCATTATATTGTAAAGTGCTGAGCAAACTGTTGGCGCTATATAAATCCTGTATAATAATAATATATAAATCCGGTATAATAATAATAATATATAAATCCTGTATAATAATAATATATAAATCCTGTATAATAATAATAATAATATATAAATCCTGTATAATAATAATATATAAATCCTGTATAATAATAATAATATATAAATCCTGTATAATAATAATAATAATAATATATAAAATCCTGTATAATAATAATATATAAATCCTGTATAATAATAATATAAATCCTGTATAATAATAATATATAAATCCTGCATAATAATAATAATATAAATCCTGTATAATAATAATATATAAATCCTGTATAATAATAATAATAATATAAATCCTGTATAATAATAATAATAATAATATATAAATCCTGTATAATAATAATAATAATATAAATCCTGTATAATAATAATAATAATATATAAATCCTGTATAATAATAATAATAATAATATAAATCCTGTATAATAATAATAATAATGTCAACCAACATATGGCCCAAATAAAAGTGGCCATATATTTTTAAACCCGATTGTACAATCTCTATACAATCTAGTTGAGCTTTACCAAAACTGATGTTGAAAACCTAAGTAATCCAGTCAGTTTGTATCCAATTACGCAGGACCTTGCACCCCATAGTTGTTGGATTTAAAGATTGCAAAATCAGATTGTAATCTGTATAGTCAGCCCAAAAGGTGGAGAAACTTTAAATATCATCCCGAATCAACAGCTCACATTGCATTTTAATCGTGGCTATCCAGAGGTACTCCGAAATGGCCCAATCGGAGTCAGATCTCACATTGAACCAATAAGAAATCAGTTTTTAGCACCCTACCTTGTTCCGAGACCACTTTGTAGGCTGGTGGCTATTCCGCAGGCAAAGAGGCTACTGGCCAATAGACGGCTCTGGTCCGGGGCTGACAAGCGCAGGTTCTGGTGGAGAAGGCTATGGCAGGTGCACAGCAGGGAAGTCTGGACCAAGAGGTGCTGGGAACAGATGGATCAGAATTGTTATATGTAGCAAAAACCATCACATACAAATCTGTTCATTGATCTACTCTTACCCTAGGTTCACATCTGTGCGGATGGTGCCGCTGCGGATCTGCACGAAAATCCGTGCAGCCACACCACCCGCACAGAGAATTGCAGACCCGCGGGTGGGTGCCATTAGTTCTAATGGCACGCCGCCCGCACTGGGAAACACAACCGTACTGGGAACCGAGGTTCCCGCGTGGGATGCGTTTTCCAAAGAAGTGCAGGGACTTCTTCCCTGCGTGTCACGGGACACGGGAGTTCATTCAAATGAATGGGCTCTCGTGCCTGTGCAAAACGTGGCCCACACGGCCGCATAGGTGTGAACCGGGGGTAAAGAAGAATGGCCTGGCCTAACTGAAAAGCATGATATTGTAATTAAATGAGGAACTGTTAATAGAGACCTATAGTCACAACATACGCCTTCATTTCATAATATCAGCATTGTAATAACAAAACAAACAATAGTTATGTTTGACAGTTTAATATACATTTACTGGAAACATCTCCTTTCATGTTGTGAGCGCTGCCTGTCTGCTGGACGTCTCTTTCCACAACTTCCTGGACTCCCAGAATGCTTTGCAGCTTCTCTTCCATTTCTAAGGACTACATATCCCATGGTACCTTGCTGCCTGCAAGCAGTGATTCCCGTCCTGACTCCGCCTCCTGAAACTCCTCCCCTCAGCACCTCTGTAGTTGAGAAGGCGGGCTCTGTGAAATGTGTGACACAGCAGAGCTACTCACAGCACATAGTGACTATGGGTCCCGAAATTCAGGGAAGAAAATGTGCAAGTCTTCACAAAGTTTACAAACTTCAAGATGGTTCAATTTAAGGCAACATGTACACAGGACACTTCTGAACGATGGAAACTGACTGCTGGAAAACGTAGGTTAAAAAAAGTCTGTTTAGCTGCATTTGCATAACGCGTTTAGCCGCGTTTGCATTTAGAAGCGTTTTTTAAAGATAAGCACAGGAGAACCTCCCAAATGCCCAGAATGCACTGAAAAGTGGTAAATTATTAACAATTTCAGACTGTTTCAGAGAAGTACAGAGAGTAGAAGCAGAGACAGAAGTATGTGTTGAGATTAGCTTAGGTGTGAGTTGCTCATTAACATTTCTTTTGTTTCCAAGGGTGGGAAAGGTGTCTGCTGGAGGGAGTCATTAAGGTCACCTGGCAGGGGGTCTTCATGAGGAATTTCAGGTTTGAATGGTCATTAACATATCTTTTGTTTCCAAGGGTGGGAGAGGTCTGAGGTGTGAATTGGTCATTACAATGTGTGACAAGCTTGGTGGGAACATCCTGTGTTCAGTGTTTTGTCCATTTGAGTACCTTGAAAATGCTTTGCATGCATTTTTCATGATAAAAAAAGGCTCTGGACAGCTTCGGGAACTGAAAGAGTTAAAAAAAAATTTCAAACGCAAACACTTATAAACGCAATTTGCCGCGTTTACAAGCGTTTTGCATTTGAAACGCTGATAAAATCGACTGCTGAACGCAAGTTTTCTGCGTTCAGAATGACTGTAAACTCACCTGCCTGTAAACGACGATGTGTACATGGACACATAGGAAATCATTAGGGAGAGTTCAGGGGCTGCTGAAAAAAACACAGAACAGCTCCTAAACGTGAGCTTATCAGCTGCAGTGTACATGAGCCCTAATAAGTAGTCTTAAAACAACTGAAATACAATGTGGAAATGAACATATATAAATATCAAGCGTAGGCGAGCGCTGGAACTATAAAGCAGCAAACACCAAGGTATACGTAACAACTCCTTATGGATAAATATATAGAAAGTGCAGCACTAAAAGAATGATATTATAGTGAAAATAAAGTGCAAAATCAATCTGACATATAGCGAAAAAAAAAAAAAGATCAGCGGAACAGTCAAGTGCCGCATATAAAAATCAAACATAAACAATGTTCAATAAATCATTCAATAAATGTGAAACAGTAAAGTGCAGCATAAAAGTGAGAATATATAAAGTCCATAAAATATCAGTGGAGTAAGAGCTATAAATTGTCTGTAAGGATATAAGTACGGCAATCACGGTGAAATATTGTGAAGTGATCCAGTACGGAATCCACCACCTCTGTCAGATGTACACTCACCAGACATCTACTGGTAAACAGCATGTAAGCACATCTCATCTGGGTACAGGTAACAGCAATGAAGCCTCTGCAGGGGATGCTCAGCCAAGGGCAAAAAAACGCAGGTGGACCCTCCCCTATGAGGAATAGCTCACCACAGGAGCCAAATGTAGTACATAGTGTAGTATTTTATTAGATAATGAATAAAAGACAATCCACGTGGAAACAAGTAAGAAAGAAGGTAAAATAGAGTACCAAGATGGCCGCCGTTCCGACCTTTGGCAACGGCTGCGTGACGTCAGCAAGTGCGGCTCCACCCAACGCGTTTCGTGCACATGCACGTCTTCAGGGGTATGCTCAACGAAGACGTGCATGCGCACGAAACGCGTTGGGTGGAGCCGCACTTGCTGACGTCACACGCTGTTGCTGCAGCACATAAAAACTGTGGTTTTTATGTGCTGCATAGGAAATGAATAGAGATGAGCGAAGTATTCAAAAATTCGATTCGGCTGATTCGCCGAATTCGCGGAATAAATTTGATTCGAGGCGAATATATTCGCTGCGAATTTAACTTATAAAAAGGGTGTTTCTAGGCTTCAGAGAGCCTTTATATTAGTGCAGAACACTGTACCTTTAATTTAAATGCCCTTGGAGTCTGCTGGGGAAGAGAAATAATACTGTCAGTCAGTATGACATGCAGATGAGTGCCGTCGATCTTAGAATCACCGCACACTTCACTCATTTGGGCAGTCACGGGGCCAAAACCAGAGTGTGGAGCCACAGTGTGGCGGTGGAGGCAGCAGCAATGGGAGGCCATACAGCACCCTATGAAAAAATGGAACCCACCAGCAGTGTGAGGAGACCTGAAAGTGGCACATGGCAGAGTGTGGCGATGGAGACAGCAGCAATGGAAGGCCGTACAGGGACCCATGACACACTCTGGACCTGGCAGCAGCATGAGGAGGCGGTACAGGGGCCCATGACAGATTACGGGCCTGGCAGCAGCATGAGGAGTCGGTACGGGGGCCCATGCCAATTACGGGCCTGGCAGCAGCATGAGGAGGCGGTACAGGGGCCCATGACAGATTAAGGGCCTGGCAGCAGCATGAGGAGGCGGTACAGGGGCCCATGGCAGAGTGGCGGAGCGTAAGCAGCTAAAATTGAAGGCCATACAGAGGCCTATGTTAAAAAGTCCCCCCAGCAGCAGCGTGGGGAGACGACTATCAAGAGTCCAATGGCAGAGTGGCGGAGCAGAAGCAGCTTCAATTGAAGGCCATACACAGGCCTAGGTTAAAAAGCGGAAGCCGTCAGCAGCGTGAGCAGACGACAGAGACACATGGCGCAGGGTGGCGGTGGAGGCAGCAGCAATGGAAGGCCATACAGCACCCTATCACAAAATGGAACCCACCAACAGTGTAAGGAGACCTGAAAGTGGCACATGGCGCAGGGTGGCGGTGGAGGCAGCAGTATTCGGAAGCCAAACACAGGCCTCGGTTAAAAAGCGGAAGCTGTCAGCAGCGTGAGCAGACGACAGAGACACATGGCGCAGGGTGGCGGTGGAAGCAGCAGTATTCGGAAGCCAAACACAGGCCTCGGTTAAAAAGCGGAAGCCGTCAGCAGCGTGAGCAGACGACAGAGGCACATGGCGCAGGGTGGCGGTACAATAGTACTGTACGTTTATGTCACTGGAATGCACTAATCACCCAAAAAATATTACCACCACCCGGCGTGTATATGGATTTAACTCTTTGAACGTACAATAGTGGTTGTGAAGCAGAAAGTCAGTTTATTTAGCACAATCGGTCAATTGCAGCTTGCCGTTGGCTGGAAACTGTACCTTTATGTCATTGGAATGCACTAATCACCCAAAAAATATTACCTCCACCCGGCGTGTATATGGATTTAACTCTTTGAACGTACAATAGTGGTTGTGAAGCAGAAAGTCAGTTTATTTAGCACAATCGGTCAATTGCAGCTTGCCGTTGGCTGGAAACTGTACGTTTATGTCACTGGAATGCACTAATCACCCAAAAAATATTACCACCACCCGGCGTGTATATGGATTTAACTCTTTGAACGTACAATAGTGGTTGTGAAGCAGAAAGTCAGTTTATTTAGCACAATCGGTCAATTGCAGCTTGCCGTTGGCTGGAAACTGTACGTTTATGTCATTGGAATGCACTAATCACCCAAAAAATATTACCGCCACCCGGCGTGTAAATGGATCTAACTCTTTGAACGTACAATAGTGGTTGTGAAGCAGAAAGTCAGTTTATTGTACACAATCGGTCAATTGCAGCTTGCCGTTGGCTGGAAACTATACGTTTGTGTCACTGGAATGCACTAATCACCCAAAAAATATTACCACCAGCCGGCGTCTAAATGGATTTAACTCTTTGAACGTACAATAGTGGTTGTGAAGCAGAAAGTCAGTTTATTGTACACAATCGGTCAACTGCAGCTTGCCGTTGGCTGGAAACTGTACGTTTATGTCACTGGAATGCACTAATCACCCAAAAAATATTACCGCCAGCCGGCGTCTAAATGGATTTAACTCTTTGAACGTACAATAAGTAACGATTCTGTGTCCCTGAGTAACGATTCTGTGTCCCTGAGTAACGATTCTGTGTCCCTGAGTAACAATTCTGTGTCCCTGAGTAACAATTCTGTGTCCCTGAGTAACAATTCTGTGTCCCTGAGTAACGATTCTGTGGCCCTAAAGTCTCTGTGGCCCTAACTCTGTCCCTCAATACACAGAGGTCTGTCTCTCTTGAATGACCGGAGGCTAATGGAGAATTCGAAGATGGCCGCGATTTATAGCTCCACCATTACACAGTGCTGGCTGGCTGGCTGCTGATTGGCTAATGCGATCACATGTCATGATTCATGACTCATGAATGCATTATGGGTCAGCGCGCCTTGTCTGCGCGCCTTCCCAGAGATCCCCGCCCCATCTTCTCTGTCCATTTTCTCCTGTCGCCACACATGTCGCCGCAATTTTTGGGAAAATTCGATTCGTGCATCCGAAGTTTGCTAATCTTCGGATTCGTCGCGAATCGAATTTTTCCAAATCTTCGAAACAAATTCCACTTCGTCATGTTCGATTCGCTCATCTCTAGAAATGAACATACGATCTCACATTCTCACCATATACGTGTGCAAATCCTTCAATGTAGCCAGCCATCATCCCTACCTCCTATCTGTATTGCACAAGTTCTCCTTTATCCAGGATATGGTATATCTAAGTAGTAATTACATTCATTTGGACTTGATTTGAATTGTTGAAGATGCTTCGTAGATTCTCCAAGCCACTTCATTGGTTCTAACAAGTGTCAGAAAGATACTCCAACATTTATATCCACACAGGTAACACCAGAACTTGAATCCAATCACCAGAGAATGTGTCAAGGCAGATGTTGATGGTCCAAAAACAGGTGGGAGGTGTGAAAGATGTGCAACCATGTCTCTCAATGGGAGCGAGATCTGGGTTTCTCGATTGCGGCGGATTGGAGTAGGGCCTGGGGGATGGTAGCGAAATGTTCCTTCATTACCGTCACTCTTGAGGCAGCCTGCAAAGTTCTCCTGCGGTGGTACTGGGTCCCGGCTCAAACTGCTCACTTTAACCCGACTGGTGGAAATAAGTGGTTACGGAACTGTGGTCTACGTGGGGACATCTTGCACATTTGGTGGTCATGCCAACAATTGATAGACTTCTGGTCTAGGGTTTTTGGTTTGCTGCAAACGTTATTTCATATTACGGTCTGTAGGGATGCAAGGGTGACCCTCCTGCATTGCCCAATTTTGGGTCTGTCTAGGTCTCAGCAGAAATTGGCATCCTACCTAATTATTTCGGCCAAACGTGCTATAGCTCAAGCTTGGAGAACCCCTTCAGTTGTCTTCCAGGGCGTGAAGACCAGGATGAATGCTATGCTGATCAATGAACAGATGTCTAGCGTTCTTAAAGATACTCATCTGAGATTCCTTAAGGTTTGAGAACCTTGGATACGTTATTCCTTGCCATCCCTGCCTCCTACTAGTTATGGCCTCTCATAGTCATTGCCTGTGCTAGCCCTGGATCCGTGATTCTTCTAGTCTTCTTTTCTTCCATGTTTTCTCTCTGAATCTTTATTTTTTCCTTATTTTTTTCTATGTTTTTCTATTTTCTTTTCCCTTTTTTCTATTAGTTTTTTTTTCCCGGTAATATGCAGGATTGCTGCTGCTACTATTTGGTTTGGCTTTTTGCCGTCCCTCCTTTATGTCATTGGACATTCCGTTATTTGGATAATACGAGTCAGCAGGATGTATCTGTTTATGTGTGTTATTGTTCTGCTCTGCTCCTGCGTGGGCGTATCTTAAGCTTGTTGCATTGTTAAAATAAAAACTTTCTTAATAAAAATATTGAAATAGAAAGATGTGCAACCATCCTGTTCAATAATAATATATAATAATTCAGTTTTTGGTAGCAGGAAGCTTGAAAAAGGTGTGTTTCCTCAATTTACATGGCTGAAGGAGTGAATTGTCAAATCGCTGGGGTAGAGATGTTAACAAAAATGTGGAAGACAGATGGGGGTTTATTTACTAAAACGGGTTCACTCAGAATCTTGTATACTTCTGCATGGAAACCAATCAGCTTGCAGGTTTTATTGCTAAAGATTATTTGAACAAGCTGAGGTTAGAAGCTGATTGGCTGCCATGCACAGCTGCACCAGATTCCGAGTGATCTAGATTTAGTAAATCTCCCCCATGGCGTGGAAGGCCCCCACTTCTGTTCAGGGATGGTACGATGTAAATGATCTCGTTCATGCCTCTGGTGAGTCAGCTGTCTTCTTTGTCCAAAATGTGCTCCTCATTGTCCTTGAAAGAAGGTCCCTTTTCTGGAAGGTGTAGGAAGACTGCTGAGCCTGACTTGTAGCATTTGCCCTCCTATATTGGGCTTTTCCCGTGTTCTTGCTCTGTCCGCCCAATGTACAGGTCTTTGGATTTCTCAAAGATACAGAACAAGTCCAGTTGAATGTGATGAACTACTATCTCCTTCTCATAGAATACAGGCAGCACAGTGGGTAAGTGGTTAGCACTTCCTCCTGGCAGTAGTAGGGTTGCTGGTTTGAATCCCAACCATGGCACCACCTGCCTGGATATTTGCATGTTTCTCCCTGTGCCTGCATGGGTTTCCTCTAGGTACTCTGGTTTCCTCCGACACTCCAAAGACATGCTGGTAGATGAATTGGATCCTGTCTCAAAGATACAGAACAAGTCCAGTTGAATAGTATATGTCATAGAATAATGTGATGAACTACTATCTTTGAGTTTTCTAAGTTTTCAGCCATGATCTCATTAAATCGGACTAAAGGCAAAACACATTTTGCTATCTCTGGTTAGCGCTTCTACCTGGCAGTACTAAGGTCGTTGGTTTGAATCCCACCATGCCCACCTGCCTGGAGTTTGCATGTTCTCCCTGTGCCTGCGTGGGTTTTCCTCTGGGTACTCCAGTTTCCTCCCACGCTCCAAAGACATGCTGGTAGGTGAATTGGCTCCTGTCTAAATTGTCCCTAGTATGTGTATGCATGAATGTGAGTTAGGGACCTTAGATTGTACGCCCCTTGAGGGTTAGGGACTGATGTGAATGTACAATATATATGTAAAGCGCTGCGTAAATTGATGGCGCTATATAAGTACCTGAAATAAATAAATTATATATATATAAGCAAGTGTACAATCCAAACACACATTCCTGCATTAAAAATGGCTGTGGGTGTTGCAGCAACCATTGGCTGAAACCAAGCAGAATTAGCAAGGCAGAACAATGGTTAGCACTTCTGCCTGGCTAGTACTAGGGGTTGTTGGTTCAAATCCCAACCATGGCACCACCTGCCTGGAGTTTGCGTGTTCTCCCTGTGTCTGTGTGGGTTTACTCCAGTTTCCTCCCACACTCCAAAGACATGCTGGTAGGTTAATTGTCTCCTGTCTAAATTGTCCCTAGTATGTGTATGTATGAATGTGAGTTAGGGACCTTAGATTGTACACCCCTTGAGGGTTAGGGACTGATGTGAATGTACAATATATATGTAAAGTGCTGCGTAAATTGATGGCGCTATATAAGTACCTGAAATAAAAAAAATATGAGAATTACTAATATACAATGGGCGTTCAAGTCAAACTGGCTTTTTTGAGTTTATATAAGAAAGAAAAAAGTTGAATGTGATGTACTACTACCTCCTTCTCATACAATATGGGCAGTACAGTGGCTAAATGGTCAGCACTTCCTCCTGGCAGTACTCGGGTCATCAGTTCAAATCCCAACCACAGCACCACCTGCCTGGAGTTTGCATGTTCTCCCTGTGCCTGTGTGGGTTTCCTCCGGGTACTCTGGTTTCCTCCCACACTCCGAAGACTCGCTGGTAGGTTAATTGGCTCCTGTCTAAATTGTCCCTAGTATGTGTATGTATGGATGTGAGTTAGGGACCTTAGACTGTACGCCCCTTGAGGGTTAGGGACTGATGTGAATGTAAAATACAGTATATATGTAAAAGCGCTGCGTAAAT